GCTGAAGTTTTTTTTTAATTTTCACAAAGCAAAAGAAACTTTTTGAAACGAAATGCTAAATTCTGAAAAGAATGGGATTGACATAAAACAGCACTTGGAGAGGAGGTGAGCGATAATAAAAAGCATTGTTGAAAAGGTGAGAAAAAAGAAAATTATGGTCGTTACTCATAAACGTTCCTGCTCGAAATATCGCAGAAATGTTATCTTAAAAATGATGATTCTCTGTTGGCGTTAATATTTTCATCGGTATGAACAGAGAATGTTTCGCGGATGTTGTCAATTCGTGCGAAAAATAAACTGAATCTAATTCTGCGTAACGGTGTCCTTTCCCGACAAAATTTATGAATTAAAAAAAAGGATTACTTTAGATGAATATCAGATGCCTATGAATATCAAGAAAATTCCAAAAAATGTTGTTTATATCAGTGCATTTGCTATGGGAAGGCGTGCAACGACAGTACACCGACATTTTGCACATAACATTATTCAAAAGGAACATCAACTCGTTAAAAATGCTTCCTGCCAATTTCATCGAATCAGTTACATGGCCAGGAATAATTGCTGTCTGAATTCGGTTCTGAGAACGAAAACCAGAAAGACTGGCCTCGGACGTCTTTCATACCATCGACGTTCAACGACTTCAGTTATTCACCATGTGAACAGGGACGGCGTTGCTGAAATATATTATAGATGCTGATGAGTGTTCATTGCAGTCACGCAGTCTCTAGTCTTGTGGCTATACGTTAGTGGAGTATTAGCATGAAAGTGGTGGCAGTTACAATTATACAGTCTATCCGTCCTGCAATCTCGGTGAAAGAACCTGTTCAATCGAAACAGAGCCAGAGCTCGAGTGAACGGAAAGGAAAGATTATATTTGTGTCTTTAGAGTAGACAGTTCCATAGTTTTGTTCGGAACGCGTTTTTTAAAATCCCAACTGTGACTTTTGGCAGATAATTCGTCGAGCTCTCTTCTCCTTTAAGTTTTACATCCAATGTCGAACTTGGGAGCAGTCAAATAGAGTTATTCTTTTTTAATGAATTCGTCAGCTGACAAGGACTGCCGCATTCAAGAGAACCCTTTATGGGTTTTCATTCACAGTTTCAAGTAATGAGGAATTTCCCAGAATTCGTTATAATGTGTCAATTAAACGAAATGATGAACTGTTCATGAAAGAGAAGGTAATTAACAGTGATATGTCTGAGATCGAATGGGAAAAATCTTCATTCTATTAGAACGATGACGTGCGCTTGCTTTAACATCACATGGTTCGCAACGAGTGGACGATCCTGACGTCGAACGTGTCTGGAAAATAAACATTTCAATTATCATTGCTGTATCGTTTTCTTCAGCGCTTCGTTTCATTTCCGCAGAAACCTTTGAATGACGAATTTCCATGATGCAGAATAACACGTAAACTGCAACAGGTTCTGTTTTAGGTTGAAAGCGATGTTGTGAGAGAAGAAATTTTTTGTTCAAATGATCAGCGGTTGTGAAGAAAATGATGAAAAAGTATCCAGCAGGTTCTCATTATGGAGTTGATTTTGGGCATTCGGTTGTGATTCTCGTTAGTTGGCTTGCGAAGCAATAAAAAGTAAGGAACTCAAATATTTGTAGTGAAGGATTCGAAAAAGATGAACCTTGCGATTGGATGATTCAGTGAAAAGATTCGACGGTTTCGTTGATTTACTCTCACGACGATGCCCTTCAGATTCATCCTCATTGTCCCGTTTCTTTCGACTAAGCATGATGTCTGTGACCCATCGAGGGCAAGGAACACAGTTCTTCAACCAAATGCTTACATTACATTACAGAAGCTGTCGTATGACTGTTTTTGGTGGCGACAGGCTTTAGCATTTATTAATTGTTCAGAAGACGTTAATTTTGGGCACTGAGAGAAACGCATTTCTAGCACGTACAGTAAATTCATCGGNCCAGCAAACATTCCGGATAATCAATGCAAGCTTTACCACCACGGCCACCACGCGGAACACGATTGCGGATTGAAAACGATTCCAATGCTGCAAAAAACTGCCAAAGGTACAGTGCGATGACTCGCAAAATTAGCTCGTGTTAATCAGACAGCTTTAAAATGCGGAATTGGCATACTGATTGAAAGGTAACAGGTAGAGAAAACGAGCTGTAAACTAGAAGTACATTTTCAGCTTGGAACAAAAACGACTATTTTATTGCGAAATCAATTCATTTGTGTGTACTTAAATTCTTTAAAACGATTCCATGCTAACTACCTGAAATGGGCACATTTGGTCTATGCAAATTTTCTTGTTGCCTGTCTATGAGATGTGAAACGTGAGAAGAAAACCATACGGTTAGTGGCTTTGAGATGTGATGCGAATACATTTAGGAGGTTTATCATTCCGTCTTGGTCATAAGCTTGTCTTTTCGAACGGAACATGTGATCGTATCCTCGTTTCCGCCTCCTTTGACTGAGCGAGCCAGGTGATTGCTGATTGTGAGAAACGAATGTATTCAACGTGATTTCTTCCTCACAATTATAAGTAAAGAAAGCTCAAGACTTCTTCACAAAGTGTGCACCGACAATCAAGATTGTATTATTCAGTTGTTACCTTAGGTATTTCCTTATAACAGAATACCTTTAGTCGTTCGGCACATACCTTTTTTACTGCAATATGAAATTAAAATGTAAAAATCACGCCTCAAGGGATTCTCAGTGACAGCGGGCGAAATATTTTGCTTTATCCGTTTGATTTGAACAGTATTTTTGAACAGATTGACCTCGTCGACATTCCCCTTAAGATAGTGCATTCCGGCTATGGAATGCATTAAAAAAGCATTTGCAATTCTCTTTTTATAATGCGTGGCATCATCCCTTTCACGATGAGCGATTTTCATATGTATGACAACGTAATCAATGAAAGTTCGTGCTGAGTGGTCACACAGTTTGCACATCTGAGATTTGGGTCACAATTTTAGAGAAGTGCGCAGTTGTGACAAATTTATACCAATTTCATGCTCTAATTCATCTGGTGATTCAATAATCCCTTTGCCGTCGTAGTGTTTTGAGGGTCTTGAAATTGCAGCATCGAGAGCTTGGATTACATTTTGATTCACTCCCATTTCTGATTCACATGAGCAGTGTGCTATCGAGGCCTCATTTGCATGAGAACAACACGTCAAAATGATTTCAATAATTTTGCGAACTAAACTTGCAACTGTACGTACAAGACGTTATGCGACATATTCAATTTGATTAATGAAAGAGCGTAAAGAAATGCTTCTTCAACTTAGATTACGTTTCGTTCGTTTAATTTCATAATTTGCACAAGTTGTGCTTTGAGAAAAAATACTCAAAAAGAATTGCAAATAATAAATTTGCAGCTTCTGGAACTGCCCCTCAAGATCTCTAAATTTATCAGTATGATTTCAAAATGTATTCTCACATATGGCATTACCACTGTAATTTTATGTGAAAAATCAGCTGTTGAGGGAAGTTCCTGCACAAGGAAAATATTTAGCACAAGTTCGCTATGTTCAAGAATTTCCCGGCAAAGACTCCGTAAATCAGCTGACAATGCATTGAGTAGAGAAGATGCTCGAAAGTGAAAACTGCAGAAGCTGTTAACTGAGTACAGATAATTCATGCTTATGTTTATATCAGTTCGTTCAGGTTCCAAAGTATTCGGAGAGTTTGATCAAGAATAGCAAACGAACCGATTCATGTGTAGGGCGCATCATGTGAGTTCTCCCGAGCAGGAAATGTGGTTCTGCTGTAAAAACTCCAGAATTTTCTGCGGTGACTGGCAAATTGAAATGCTGATTTAAGAGTTCATCGATCTCGCTCACCGACCTACCAACAGTGTCTCCTTCAGCTAAAATGGAGATTAGCGTTCTTAAAAACGTACACGAAATGTTTCGTTTTCTTCTTCAATCTACATCTCCACAGCGGATTTCGACACATCGAGAGTCACCACAGCAGATTTTAGCACTAAGTTGCTTCTTCATCAGTGCAAGAAATGAGCACACATAGAATCCTTCATAATGATATTGGCACTTCCTTCGGGAAACTGGCTCGCGATAAAGGGTAACAAAACTAACCGTAACATGGTTGGCAATGCATATTTGATCCATTTATTCGTTTACCAAGTGGTGATCGTCTTCTGCACGGACATGCGGGACATGCTCTGAATAGACTGATAAATTCATATTTCGTTAGCAAGCGATTTCCTCGTTTTGATGCTAGTACCAAGAAAAACAATGGACAAGCCATGCAAATCCCATAACCAAAGGTGCTTGCCAGAGATGATAAACACTGCAATTTCCAAAAACACCCCATTCATCTCCAGCTCTTTTTAGCTCAGTTTTCGCTCCTCTCCAAGACAACTCAACATACTAATCGATCATGTTGTCTATTTGCAAAATCGAGCTCTTTAACGAGTTCCGCGCAAGATTTAAATTCTTTTTGCTCAAAAGTTTGATAACGTTCGTGACGATTGTTCCAGTAAAATCAAGTACTACATCACCGTCATATTCACTCATATTACGATATCATAACAGCATTATCAAAATTCCGGATGACAGTAACGCCATAGAGAGTGCGTTGAGGTTGACTAATTGATTTCCTGGTCAAATAGTCTTGTTACATGCAAAAAATAAGGTTTTCATGTACAGTAATGACGTTGTGCCGTCGATCTTTCGCCGAAGCCAATTTTACGAGTCGCACATTGATTAAAGACAGTCATTTAGGGAATGGTTGTTATCAGATTCATGAAGTGGATAAACAGTCTTATGGCGTAAGGTNTCTAAGCGTACCCTAGCGACTGACGGAGTGAATCTCAGCCTAAATGCGAGGTAAAGTTTAGCCTGAATTCAGGACTAAGCCTTAAGTTCAGCTTGGAATAAGCCCCGCTCCAAGTCAGCGGTAAACCTCACTTGAAGGCACCGATACTCTTGAAATATCGTCAGGTGGTCGAGAGTGAAATTGCTTTAAAATATGCTGCTGGCTGGACGAAAATTATTATCATGGCTGTTGAAAGTGTTCCTGATTATATAGAGGCGTTACCTGAGACAAGGAGTTACGAAATTGCAGCAGCGCTTCGCTGATGAACGAGAAACACAGCGACTTAATGTGCGCGGTGAGGGATGTTTTGTATGATGTGGCCAGCACGGTGATTGTTGGGGACAGCAAATTATTGGACGGTTGTAGCAATTTGGTCGTCCACACGAATTCATTCCACCTGACATTTTAGCACATCATCATCAAGTCTTGTAACTGCACGGTGTATTAAAATCGTGACGTTCGGGTCAGTTCTGTTTTATGAAGATTGCATTCTCTAGCTCATTGGATTGGACCGACTCATGTGTTCGACTAAATGAGAACCGTTTGTGGGTAAGAATTTCATCATATTCACTCCGAGCATAGTTGAAAACTCAAAAAAACGTATTGAATTTTCAGTAGCGCAAAACTGCTTAATCGCGGCAAGTTCGCCATTCGATTGAAAGTGACATTGTGCGTGTCAACTGATTTTTCAGATAAAAATTCGCCATATTGAAATAAAGCGTGAAATTAAAATTTCAGAATAATTCACTGCATATCGTCAGAACGTGAAAAATTCTAAAATATTGCATACATTATTCGGATGAACAGAATGACTCACCATGTAGAGGTTTTCGCGGTTTTGGCGGTGGACAACATCGGGCCGGTGGAAGAGGCGGTAATGGGGGTGGTAACGCTGGAGATTTCGAAAGTATCGGGATTGACGGAGGACAGCATGGCGCTCTGATGATCTACGAAAACATTAGAATTGAAAAGGATGATGTTCTCGATGCATTTATTATTTCATGTGGCCGATTTGACGCTTCTGCGAACACTTTACGAAAATTAGGTAGTCCATAAAGTAACGCTGAAGAATTTTGCAAGTGTGCATGAAGACATGATTACTGATGTCACGCTAGTAACCGAATGACATCAAATTCTTCTCAACATTTCTAAAAGTATCTGCCCTGTCAACGCAAACAGAATAGATTATTTCGGCCGAAACATTGGCCACATGAACCAAGATGAGTTCAATGAGGTGTAAAGGAATTACCGGATGTAATAATCCCTTAATGCTATCTTGACCATCTCGACTGAATTTTGATTTATTTTTAAACCGCGTTTTCCCACAAAAATCTGGGTTAGCTGCACAACAGGCTGCGAAAGTCGTTGGATGGCATGATTTTGGCTCCTCAGGACTTGGACAGCACAACCGTGGTAATGGTGTTGTTGAGCAGCAATCTGAAATGAAGAATTCGACTTTTAGTTGTTCGGGATCACCAACCGTCAAGTTGCTTGCAATAAGCAACTTGGGATGAGGAGTTTATGCTCGTGCTAGTCCTTCTGATTTAATGTTTCGAGTCATCAAACAAATGGAATATTCATTAGAGCATCGTCTTTTAACATGCTTCAGGATTTTTTAAAATCAAGATATCAATGAAATGTGCAGTCATACCTGGTTGGCAACATGCACGAAGTGGACGTTTATCACAACCAGCACACCCACACGAACATCGTTTTCGACGAATGTGTTTTGATACATTCGATTCATTATTTAGGGCGAACGTTGGCTGTTTCAGGCTATTGGTTAATATCGACGGCCATTTGACTGCAAACTATTCTTCGTGTGTTTCAATCACTCAATGGTAGCATGTGTGTGAAATGTCACAAATTCAGAAATGTGACTGCTTGAATTCAGAAATGAATTAGAAGTACTGAATCAAAAACTCACAATTTCATTTTCTCAGAATATATTACAATCGTGAAACGCACTGAAGGATTAGACAAAAATTACATACGTCAATATTTCGGTGCGACTTTGCTGAATATTACATGTTCCGTGCTTACCTGATCTTCGTGATAGCCATCTCCATGAGTGATCTGCATTTTTGATCATCACTGAATCGTCGATTTGACGGTCCAAATTTCGTTTGTTGTTTGTATAATCAGCATCAATGAAAGGGTTCGTGTATCCCCATATGAAATTAATCAGTACTAAACCTGACAAGGCTCTCATTTCTGTCGATTTGTCTAATGGCACCTCAAATAATTCATTTACATTCATTTTTAGTGATAATTGGCTTTGGCATGGAATTGGCATTTCAGGTGCAGCGAAAACTTGCTCTGCTATTTTGCCCCAATGCTTCACAGAACGAGTTTTGGTGATAGTCTAGAATGGTGTTTCTCAAAAAATGATTGAGTTGAATTCTCCCTTTAAATCTAGAGGATCTTAAGCGGAAGGAATTGAGAACGTTGGTGGGTTGAGCTTGAATTGTTCTCTCATATCTCCTCATAATCTGTAACTGTTCAGTTATGTTTTCAGAATATATATTTCATAAAAATGATATGATCAGATTAATAAAAACCATTCAAGCTTAATACTAGCGGCGAATTCCTGATAATAAACTTGCTAATCACTGAATCAGTTTTTGATTTCTTTACTCTTTTCGAAGAATAGCACAGTGAATGATGAAGAATAAGAAGAATAGAGTATTAAACGCAGTAAAGAGAAATGACACACTGCAGATTATTCGAGGGTGGAATGAAGGTCAACCGAACGGCTAATGGGATGCTCGGAGTGCGAGAACGCGACTCATAGTGACAGAAAGTGTGGAAGATTTCACTAATGCGCTATTTCTGGAGTTCAGATCATGATCGGAAACTAAGAACAGAATGCCTCTATAAATCGAGTTACTTACCAATGAGAAGATCTGTTCGTTTTCGTTGCGCACGCTTTAAATAACCTCTCACGACCGTACTCGGCTCTGAAAATACCAGGAAACCATCAATATAAGCAACAAAAACTAACAAACGCTATATTACACAAAAATGCCGACCACTGCGCTGGGTCTGCTATAAAACGATCAAAATTCTGTTGAGAATCCTGCTGTACGCAGGATATGCGTCTCAGTATGACGGGAAATCTGTTAAATTTCGATGAAAGTGAAATGGTCGTCGTAGATCGAGATAAATACATGCTGAATACTTCGTTCGTAACTAGTGATGGGTGTTTTCGGGAAGAGGTGTTCACAGAATGCTTACGCATGAGTAGAGGTTTCTGAGCTGCTCACCACTCGCTGCTCACGACTTTGCTTACAGTGGCTCACACACTGTTCACAACGCGAACGGAACTTTTCCGCGGCTGCTGTCCACTCACTACTCGAGAGGCGAGTGCATTTGCAATCGTTCGATCACTACACACGACAAAGTGCATTCGCGGTTAACTGCTCATACTCGCAATTTGCGCGTGTGATCATCAGTACTCATCACTAATCGCAGCTTGAATTGATCTTAAACCAAGGCGGTCAAAAACTGAGGTTCCATTCCAGAACGATGATATGGTAGTTCGATTTGTGACTCATTGTCATCGTCATTCACGTGAATTGGAATGAATTCTGACCATTAAATTTGAACCGGTGATAACGAGAAGATCGCCAACACCAGTTTCGAAACTAAGAAGAGTATAGAATGCGTTTATTATGGGGTGGTTAGGCAGAAACAAGTTTTACATAATGTCATTGTTTCTTATGCCATAATGCCATCAAGCCGCAATATTCTTATTTTTGATATGATCTTTTTCGACATTGCTATGCGGTCTACGCCTTCTGGTCATCTCTTTCAAAGTTTTCGTCAACTGCATAAGAAAAGTTTACAGTGTGAACTGATTAAATATGATCGGTTCTGACGAATGCAATCACATCGGTAAAAGAGTGATAGTTTGACATTTTAAAGATCGACAATTATGTGAAATGTGTGGATCTGACGGAAATAGAAATTTAGCATAAAGCCGGTAAAAAATGAGCATCCTTTCAAATGACAACTTCGAAGATTCTGAACGTTTTTTCATTAATGTAGCGAATTATAGATGGTCTGCTTCATGTTTCGTTCCGGAATATCCAAAGTTGAGGTGACAGGCCATGTTATCTTCTAGTAACTGATCAATTGAATTAACAACTGGATGCATTGAAGATCACTGAATATTTTATCTCCGTTTAGCGAGGTGAATGTTTTTCAGCGAAATTCATTCATGTCGCAGCTATTCAATTGTTGCAAACAACTGATGAGCAGAAACATTGCATAAACTATTTCAAAAACTATTTCATAGCAGAAACATATTTCATTCTGTACCTCAACATTCGTATATGTCAAAAACAATAAAGACGCCTATACATCCATTAATGTAATATGTCATCGGATCAATAAGGCGATCAGCCGTTTGAAACTAATTTCATCGCGATACCATATCGATGGATTCATGCGCAACCATTCATAACTGGTGACGTTTCCGTTCATAACACTTTTGTCAAAATTTTTTCCTCCGATCTGTTCCGCTCTTCAGCTGCCTTGTATTGTTCTGTTCTGTTGTGTCCCTTGACCTGCATTTTTTTATTTCTTGAAGGTGTTCTGTTCTGCTTTGATTCCACACTCCATAATTCCAACATTATTCAGTTGTGTCCTGTTCCGCCTATCGAACCATTCAGTACTGTCGCCCTATACAAGTCCCTTTTTGCAACCATTCTGTTCTAATCGTAGGAATAGTGCAGGAATTGATTAGTTCGATTGGAATAGAGGCATGAATATCCGCAACTAGTGATGTCTCTATTCCACGCTTTTGAAAATTGTTCTGTTCTGTTCTATTCTTCTCCGAAAATAACACTATTCTCCTCAAGCTGTTTCATTACATTCTAAACTATTCTATTCTGCTC